TTTCAACTATTCATAATAAGTTAAGATAATTATATACTCAAATAAAACATTATTTTTTCCATTTGAAACGCTTGTGTGATGAGCCGGGTGTTGATTCATGGTGTGCATAAATCATTTCCCAAATGTTTATTGTAGTCATTAAAAGTCTAAACTTTACAGGTATTCATTTAATTTATTATTGTTTCACCTCAATTCTTATTAAAAGAATATTACGTCAAAAGAATGAATATATTCAAACAAAAGCATTGGCAACTAGGCATGATCCATGCACTTGCAGGTAATTTGAGCAAAGATGCTTCACCACTTTACTGAAGAAATCCTTTTTTCTTGGATGATACCTTTGAAAATTCCTCTTGCACAATCTGGGTCTTTTTCCTATACCCTGAACCCCCTATTAAATTCATATGCTTCAATGGAACATGATTCCCAACTCCACTCACTTACACCACATATAGCATTGTTTTTTAATCTATTCCCTCCATCCATACTGCTGTAAAGAATGACACATATCTGAAAAACGAATATAATTAGAATATTTTTCCCACGAAAAGAAAATTTTTCTGGTAAAATTTTCAGCAAAATTCCTCAACAAATAATACTGCTTTTAGTTAGGTCACCATATTCGATCTTGTCATATATAATTGATACAAGCATAGGATGCAAAAACATTTTGTTCTAGATTCGTTATTAGCCTCCAAAACCCTAAAATAATTAACATCTTTCCTTCAACAGAAGTTGCTCCAATATATATAGTCCCATGAAAAGGACTTAAAACATAATCAAAACCTACATATTCTGCATTTAGCTAACGCGTCACTAACATTATTTTCGTATTCTTAGTAATAGCTAATCCACCAACCAAACGAGCCCTTAAGGTTTTAGAGTTTTGGACTAATGGTCACTTCATTTGTTGCATGCTTTTGAACCAAGTACAAATTTTAATTTGAGAGATAGGGAATTGAATCTAGCACCACAATATAACCGAATGAATAGACTATTTTACCTTAAAGGTTCGAAAATATAGATTTAATTTGATGTGCTAATGCAAACTAGCTAGCTATGCTCTATACATGCAATATTTTTTGTTGATGGAGCACGAATCTAACATATTATCACCATGCAGATTCCCCGGCTTATGATAACATTTTTTTTTTCTTTTGTCTGTGCTTAATTTACTAAGGGCACAATTAGGGCTACCCTATTCTTTATCATGCAATGGAAAAAAATTACAGAGAATGCTACAGGGTTTATATACATTACCTACTAAAAGCACTTTGTTTACCAATACACTTTATAACAAAATAGAAGCTGAACAAAACACGACACTATCAATTATATATATCTACAGATCATGAAATGATTTATGTGCGTGGGGTCTTGTCTTTGAATTATTATTTTTTTTTTTCGAGACTGCAGATGAATGGGATCATTGTACATACATTTGTATTGCCTTTTTTTCCCCGTAGAATCAATCCAAACAAGCAAGCTGGCGATGACAATGTTATGAATTTCCTAAAAGCACTACCAATATTCAAACCCCACCCAGCATGCAATACAATGTAGTGGGGAACAATATCGAACTTAAACAGCATTTTTAATAGATGGATATTTGAAAATTAATCAGTCTTCAATTAAAAATTAATCTATCTGTTCTTTTTTATCTTGTTAGTTTATTTTTTTCCCCACGTACCTTTCGATGATAAGCCTTTTTTTAGTGAGTAGGGCATGTATTCTTCAGTTAGTTTGTACAAATTTTAAGATTCAAAATTTGTTTGGTAATGTTTTATATGAATTTTTTTTGCATAACATTTCATCTAAAAATATATATTTATTATTCTTAATTAATTTTAAGTTTTTATATATTTTATTCATTTTAATTAATATTATAAATTTTTAAGATAATAAATAGTAGAAAAACTCAAAGCACAGCACAATAAAATACTCTTAAACGAAGTCTAATTTCTCCCTAATTAGGTCAAAAGCAAGTTATATACACTGTGAGGAATCCATAGTGACTGAAATTTTTGAAGAGTTATTTTCTTATTAACCTCCTAAAAAATCGAATTTTGTCAAAAAGAAAATTTAAACTCTATTCGATTTAATTATTAATAATACTCATAGCTATAGCTGATAACTAATAATTAATGAAAAACTAATATTTATTATTACTTTACAATTTAAAATCTTATGTTTCCAAACACCTTTACTCAACCGTTTGAAAAAGTTATGTTTATTAAAATTAGCTTATAAACCAAACCTTTATAATTTTTTTAAAAACACACCAAGCTGACGTTGGAATGTATTTCTAAAATTGCTTAAAAAAATTAGTGTCAAAATGCACATAAACTATAACTCAAGAAAATATTAATTTTAAAATATACACAAATTGATTCAAAAACACTGAGAATATCCAAATAAGGAAAGAGAGATGGAGAGAGAGACGGACTTTGTTGGTCGTCGCTGCTTAATACACGTTGTGGATAATGAAAGCGACCCACGATCCACAGCTCCAATTACACGAACCCTCGCCTCTGCTCACCTCCCTCTCCGGCGGCCCCACGGCCCCCAAACCCGACAGAGTGTGTTCCCCGCCCCGCCCCCCCTCCCTCCCCAATCCCTTTTATTATCTAGCTACTTAATTATAATTAACTTCAAATCATATCTTAACATCTAAAAAAAATCATAACTATCACGATTGTTGCATTTTAGTCGTGGACACTTTGCACTGGTTCTAGATCTCTTGTACTTTTATATTGGATATAATCTCAATATATTAATAACAATTACAAATGGCAATGAAATATGTTGTGATAAAAACTTGATCCTTGAAAAAAAAAAATCGCTAAACATGATCTCTCAAAGTTCATAGATTGATAAAGAAAGTACATTAAATAATGTAGGAGAAGTAATTGTTGAAAATCATAGTAAAAGTCTTTAACCCTAATTAATTTTTATATACAAAAAAATGCAGAACTAACATTTTTTTTTAACTGTTAATTAAGATAGTAAAAAGAAAAAGCCCAAATTTGATCCAAATAATGCTATTCTACTACTTTTTTCAGCTATAGTTCAAGCGTATTTTTCAAATTGAAATTAGGAAAATGAAACGAGATAAGAGACGTGATGGGACAATAATGGAAAAGGAAAGAATGTTTTGAACGGTTGCAACTTTGGGAGGAGAATCAGTTCTGTTTGTGAGGTGGAGGGAAGATATACCCAATGGACTAAAGAAGTGAACGAGATAATCTTGTTTGACCAAATTAACATTAGATTTTTTTTAGATGAGATAAAATTTTATTTAGTATTTTGGAATATAACGAGTATTCTAATTTATCATTGTAAAAGAATTACGTCTTATTATAAGGTATAGATTAAATTATATTCTATCATGAAATATTGTCAACTTTGACTTGTTGGAGGGGTGGAACCAAGGGTGATGAAGGAAGGCATTCACCCCTACCTCTAGAATTTTGCGAAAAAATTAAATAGGTCTTATAATTTTAAAAAAATCAAATAAATCCTTTTTTAAAAAATAAAATGGTGTGTTTTAATTTTTATTCTTTTATAAATCTTATGATAAATTACTAACTACTTGACAAATAAAATAAATTTAATAAAATATCTTTATTTATTTGACATGTTTGTTATTGCAATATATGCATA